TTATTTGCTAGAATAATCAATCAAATAAATCTCTTTAAAAATATAAGGATTTTAAGGTGGTTTAGCAAAATAGTGATTCGGTCTACTGGTTCAACCCATCTATTTTGGCCCATTATCACAATACTAATAACGATTACAATTTAATGCGTCGTTCATTTGGAAACATTTTTATAGGCTGAAACCAAATTATATCTTGAGCCCAAATAAAATCCAAATTTTGTTTGTTGTAGTTAATGAGTATTAATTAGACAATTTGTTTATGCAGGCGTGAGTGTTTATGGGTTCATAGCTAAGGATGTATCTTTTGTGAATTTTGCCGGACCGAGTAAGCACCATACCGTCGCATTGTGAAGCAGTTCTCATCACTCTTCTACCGAGAATGCAATATATTTGGTACAATCGATTTTATATGCGGCAATGCCGCTGTTGTGTTCCAGAATTGTAATTATTATGCTCTTAAACCAAAATCAAACCAAAAAATCGTATTCACTGCTCAAAGTCGCGATAAACCGGATGATCTTACTGATATTTCTTTGATTAATTATCGAATCTTGGCTGCGCCTGATTTGATCCATGTGAAAGCAAACTTCAAGGCATATATAGATCGACCATGGAGACAATATTCTAGAACGGATTTGTTAAAATCGTTTATCGACGATTTGATTGATCCCGCCGGATGGTTGGAGTGGAAAAACTGATTTGCACTTGAAACGTTATATTATGGTGAGTACATGAATAAAGAAACCTGTGCGAACGTGACCGGTCAAATAGCTCGGTTATAGATGCATCGAAAACGCAACCTAAGTTCACTGTTGGTTCGTTCATAGAGGGTAACACATAGCTTAAGTCTACCAACATCCCATTTAGTGTCGGTTTTTAATCGTTAAATTTGGGTAATAATGAAGCAAACTGTTGTATGTTGTAACCACCATAGTGGATCGTAAACATTGAATCAAAAAATTCTAGTCAAATAAATCATAAATGAATTTTGAGCAGAACAAAAAAAAAATCATTCTGTCAAATATATTGAGAGTGAAAAAGATGGATCGTACTTTATAAGAATATATTATGAATATTGATCCATGAACAGAACCAAAAATCCCTAAGGGAAGAATCAATTTCGTGAAAGCATATTACCTATAACTTCAAAGTTATCAATTAAACTTCGAAACTCAAGCAACAACGAAACTTGAGAAAGGAAGAACCAAAAACAGAAAATCATTTTACTTCTACTCAAGTTTCCTGCTCTAAGCACAGAAACCAGCTCCATAGCGGTGGTCTTAAACTGGCGTGACAGTACTACAAAATCCACTACAGATTTGGATCATTTAAAAATGTAACATGCG